TCTTTCAATTTTGAGATACAACCCAGTCTGCATTTTCACCCTTACCTGTCCCCTTCTAGTCTCGCAATTGTGAAGATAGCTCAAGTGGTAAATTTTCAAGTTCAAGGAGGCAAAATTCAGGTACTTCAGAAAGAGCTGAAAAGAGAAACAATGAGTCTGAGTCAAATGCATTAATCAGCCTCATGTAGACCAGCTTTCATAACAGCCCTTTAGCAACGTCATGGTAATTCCCCTGGATAAATGCTTTGCTTTGCACTGGTGTGAGATGAGGCTTATCCCACTGAAACTTCCCTGAAAGATTTCTGAGATAAGCATCCTCATAATAATCCTCTTCTGTTAGACCGTGAGTCTCCTGAAGGGAAATGCGCACCAGTGAAACTTCACTAAAACAAATATCCCTAGTGTTGAAGAGTCTCTGTTACATGGCAAAAGTGACAACTGCTTGACAGAAACTGAGCTACTGACCACTTACTGTTTCATCAGAGCTGGTGAAGTGTGATCCATTCATCTTATTAAGAGCCACAATGACAGCAACTAAATCTTTGCCATTCAAAATGGGTGTTGCAAGGACGCTTTTTGTAGTGTAGTCGGTGAGCTCATCAACAAATGGACTGAACTGGGCACACTGTTCAACAAAGAATTTACAAATTAGGCATTTTCCACACTGTAGTCTTAAAACCAAATTAAAGCACAACCTCTCAAAGTAAGCTGTCTAAAGAATGTTTTACTTTAAAATTATAGAACAAGAGAAGTGAATTGACAGGAAATTTGACAACATACAGGTGATAAAAGCTAGTATCAAGAGAACTGGCTGTGGCTTCTGACTGCAACACATGCACTTTTTCACTTTTTGCAAAGATCTCACTTAATCACAGTGTCAAACTCTGTCAGAACAAAGAGGGTCTCCACTCATCATTCTCAGGTTACTGACACCCTTCATAGTACTTCCTCCAATCCTTTTCTCCCACTTCTTGTTAACTCTGCAAAATGGGTACAGTCAGTTACCATACAGCACTGTGTAGCCACAGTTTATAAACCAGTGTTGTCTAGTACAGTCATTGGGAAGTCCACTCACCCTCATTTTTCTTCTGCTTTTACCTGGACCCTGAAGCTGCTCTCAGCTTGCAGCCTCCATGAAGCCATCTACCTCTTGTTTCTCTTGAAAATGTTCTCCCAGGCATTCCCTTACATGCTACTGGGCCTTTGTGCATGGGATGGTAGATGGTTGGGAAGGTATCCCAATGGAGGATGCAGCTGGCACCAGCTGTCTGTGGTTCCTGACACCCTCCCCCTGCCCCTGAGAACAACACACCCACTTTTGCCCAAGGAGCAATGTGCAGATAGCATTGCTATGGACTGGGCTGTACACAGAGTCTCCCATAAGGGAATGGCCATTCAAACCACTAGGACAGTGCTAGGTCATGCTCTAAGGGCAGCACACAAGGAACATGTCCAGTTGTTTCTTATATGAATGTTACTGTCCCTCCACCCTAAAAGAAAACAAAGCAGACAAAGGGTAGTTTGGGGAAGGCAGACAGTACATCACCTTGCCTGTACAGGGTCTTACTGACACCAACATCACCTACCAACAGGGAGTGCAAAATTATCTTGCTGACCCAAGATTTTCTCCCTGCTCAGCTGAATAACTTGTATGTAAGCTATAAGTCCTTCTAACTGGGTTAGAAAAAGCCCCACAGTTCTGATCATATTAAGAAGGCTGCACCAGAAAGAATAATCACTCCTTAATGCACCTTCTCCTCATAGCTCCGTAAGAGCTGGCCTCCCCTGCCAATTAGGGTAGACCAAGCATTTAGTTTCTGGGTCTCCTTCAAAGGAATTGCCTTATGGCAATGCCTGAACCCACTAGAGTTGTAGTGCAGCACTTAGCTCACAGCACTGAAATCCTTCCATCTTCTTGGAGAAATGTCTAAAGCCGGGGATCTTTCAAAACTTTAAGTCACATTCTTATGCTTTTTTTCCTCCCCCCCCCCCAAAATGGTTGCAAAACCAAATCAATGTCTCAGAATGTTCTGTGGAGGACAAGGAAGTTTTTCCTGAAACATTTGGATATGCTCATATTGTGCAACAAATGGATAGATAAACAGATGGTCTCTTTGTGACTAGCAAACAATAGATGGAGTAATCCCAAATGCCATATTTGGGTCACATGGATTTTAGTTTTATACCTATGATTAGAAAAAGCGGATTGTTATTGTTACCATTTAGGTTTATGTGATTCAACCCAGGAGTATGGGGGTAAATATTGTCATAAAGGCATAAGAATAAAACATTAAATTTCCTTGGATTACTCCTGGTATTGCAGTATGCAGTGTTTGCTGAAGGAGTTTGTTGGTCAAAGTCTATCTCTTGCAGCTTATGAAGATCACCTGTATGCAGGTTGCAGTTAACCTACCTGCTCTGAGGTCCACTCCCTCTGGTTGATAAAAAGGCCTCTAAACGCCCTTGGCCCAGGCTTCATCAGACAACATTTTCAAATATAATTTGTGGTGGAAAACCCTTTCTGGACTCACTCTAAAGGATTTCTCTCTCTTTTCCAATTACTCATGGAATATAAATGTGTGTAGAAAATTCCATGTGTGTTCAGTACAGACTGTACCTCACTCCACTGGACTAGATGCAATTTTATTTGTTTTTTAATTAGACAGGCAGTGCATTGGTTTGCAGGCATTAACACCTAGTGTAATTAAAGTGCTTAACTTCACCTCACTCATAAATGAAATTGGAACCAATTTACAGACTTGCTACTGGTGTTTGGCTTCCATTACACAGCTATTTCACTGCAAGTGTAAGCACTGAGGTGCCCTTCTACCTCTTCACCCCTTTGTACTAGTAAGCATGTGAGCCTTTCTTCTACTGAGTGAATGAATAAATGGTAAACCTACCTCACTGACATCCTTGATGTTCATGGTTTTCTTGGTTTGTGCAACATAGCCCACAATGCCTATGTCCAACGGGTAGACAATCTCACAATCTGGGGAGACCAGGCATTCCTCCAGGGTGCTTCCCTCTTGGATGTTGAAAAGCCTTGTTGCCAGTTCGGGTGTGCCATTCCTCTGCCTGTACATGAAAAGACTACAGCGGTCAGCATGAATAAGGGACCTGATTCTTCTCAACGTCTTGAAAACAACTTTCTCCATGTTAATGCTTTCTTGCATATCTTGGATCAACTCAAAAAGGATTTCACACTCATTGTCATCCCCGGATTCTGTTCTTAGTTTCTTCTCAAAGTACTGCTTGGCAAAAGCAGGGTTACCATCAAGAAACTTCTCCACGTCGCCTTCACTAATGCTCATTGTGAATGCCCTTGGTCTGGTGGTAATTAGTGGTCCAAAGATGTGATCTCTGCAAACAGCACTCTAATTTCTGATGTAGTTCCTAAATTTTTGTAACAGAAGGTGTTGCTTCTCGAATGACCAAGGGTGAGGTAACACTGCAAAGAGAGCTTGTCATCAGGAAGAGGTATTCCTTTATAGTGCCGAAGGTGAGTCTGTGGGAGGACAGATCTTCTCAACCAAACAGATTAGATGACCTCTACGAGAGCTTTGGGTCAACTTTCTTCTTCTTAATCTAAATGCAAACAAAAACTGAGTACTCACAATATCTGAAAACACTCTCCTTTCTCTTGATAAGCACAACACTTACTGAAACAGTTGTATTGAAGCAGCAGCAACAGGGAAGAACTGCATCTCCTAACATTGAAATAAGCTCTTTAAAGTCTAATTAAATATATACTGCTTGGGCCTAATCCTTGGCTAACAAGGTGAGCATCTTATTATTTCTGCTCTCCCAGCTCCCTGCAGTAGTAGGAAGTGCATTCTTCACAAAAGTGCACAGTGGTCAGAAAAAAATAGTGAGGTAAAGCTACTTTTTTTCAGGGCTCTCTCTACATCAGCATGGTTATCTGCTGCTGTGAGGGCTGTTCTCAAATGGGAGCACCAGTCCTGAATGCTTTTGTCCAGGCTTTGAACTGAGTTTGCAACATCTGTGGCCTTTTCTTCTTGCTAGTAAGAATCAGGACAGGAAAACATGCCTTTTAGTGGCATCTCTTTAGAAGGAATCTGGAGGTTGGGGTGGCCAGGTTGAAACACTGTGAGGAATCATGGGAAGCCCTGTAGACAAAAAAAAAAAAAAAAAAAAAAAAAAAAAAAAAAAGAAAAATTTCATTCTTCACTCTCAGTGGAGAAAGGGTTGGAATTAATGGCTGTGAGGGACAGAAGTGGTTTCATATCAATGAACCCATCATAGTGTGCAAACAACAAATGAGGGTCAGTGCCATTCTGGGAGGCAAAATGCCACACAGGCTACTATTCCTCAGGGGAATTAAACAATGCACAACAGTTTTTCTCAGTGGGGAATGGGGAGAGGTCCTATCCACCACATTGCTGAAAGATAGCCAAGGTTCCCCTGATGAAGGAGAAAAGGTCCAGGCTGTCCATCCCTATGAAATCTGACAGTACTGGCAGGAGTGGTGCCAAACAGCCCAAGTGAATGTGGGTGTCTGTGAGGAGGGTGACAAGAGAAGGAGCTGTGGTGGCAGTGTTAGAAATGCTTATGCAGGTGGGTCTGGAGGTCAGGAGGGGGACAGTATGGGAGGCCCTTCGCTCTTATCAGCAGGGAGGATCGAGCATATAGCTGCTAATCCATTCATATCCACTCACAAAACAGGATGTGAACACCCACATGCAGAGGCATGGGAGTATAGGGGAAGGGAGTTAAGAGATAAATGCTTTCAGAAGATTGCAGGTAAACCAGTGGAAACACAGACAAGGACCTACAAATTTATTACTTAGAATTCTATTTTCTCCTATTGCCTCTTTTAGTTCCCAAGGTCACTGGAGATGCAGCAGGAAAATTGTTGGGTCAACTGGTTGAGTGCCTTAAATGCCTTCAGCTAGCATGGCAGACACTTACTCTGGTCTTTCTTGTAGTCAGGATATTAAAATTGCTTAAGGAGGCTTGGAAGAGGTGATGTGTGTTAGGGTTGTGTACACTGTCTCCAAAGTCCATGTTCCAATGGAGTGACAAGGACCTGCTCAGCACTAGCATAGTGGGGGTCTGCTCCAGGTCTCCAGAACAGGGGTGGACAAAGCCTTTTCATGAGCAACAAGTAGGACTGTCCCAACCACAGTACTTGGTGGCAGTAGGGAATTTTAATTGTCTGACATCTGTAGGGATGGTAAAGCTTCAGGTTGCAGACTGTTCAGCAAGGTCTTGCATGTTCCAGCAGTTTCCTGAGTACAAAGGATGTCAGAAAGAGCAGGAGGAAATTTTCTTCAGTTTTGACTGGAGACAAGGGAAAGAACTAGCTGCAAACTTGAAGGAGGGAGACAGTTTAGGTGAGTGAGACCATGAAATAAGAGTTTGAAACTGGAAAAAACAGACCATTTTGTAAATTATGTGCTCTTGTTAAATTTAAGCAAGAGAAAACCAGACATGAAAGTGTATAAGAATGGCAAAATTATTGAAGATGAGTATAAAAATACCATGGGTAAGTAAAAAGGAGAGTCAGAAAGGTCAAGGTTCAAACTGAAATTAGAAACACAAAGGGCAACAAGCATTTTCTGCTATCATATTGGGAAGAGTAGGAATATCAAGGAAAGTGTTGAAGGACTTAAGTGCTTAGAGGTTTGTGAGAAGTAGCCTCTAAGCTCTTAATGCCTTTTTCTGACGGTTAACAGAGGATCTTCTGAGGTTCTGAAATTCTGGGAGAAGATAGATGTAATGATTCTTTCAGCAGAAGAGGAAAAGGGAAGAACTGGAGAATTCCACAACAGACCACTTTAACTTCTAAGAAAACATAGGAACTGTGTTTCTGTAAATAACTAGAGGAGATAGGTAACAGGCAGTATGGTTTTGTCAAGAGCAAACTGTCATCCTGACATGATTTCCTCTATGCCAGAGTAAGAAGTCTGTGGACAGAAGGAAAGTAAACAACTGTTGTAGCTCTTGGCTCATGAGGAAATGACACAGAAGATATTCTCTCTTAAGATGAGTGCTTAGATGAAATGGCTAAAAAGTGGTAGCAAATCTATTTGGAAGATGAAGAGTCATTGTTAGTAGCTCACTAATGAAATGTATGAACTTCTTGAGTAGGATTCACCACATCTTACATGAGGACCATCTCAGTATTTCCACTGATGGGTGGAAAAACGCACATTAAACCACTGTATGAGCTGCAGTCAAGTGTCTGTAAATGTGTTTGAGCACCGTCTTAAAACTAAATTGCAGACAGTTTTGTACAGGAGGACTAGAACTCACCAAGGGTGTGTGGAAAACCCTACTCATGTGGAGAACAGTCACGTGGTGATTTCATGGGGATGAGTCACTATCTGGGCTTATCACAAGCCAAACTCATATCACTACCAGGCAGATGGAGGTGTATATGTGTTGGAATGAACCTTCTATTGTATAACAGATTATGTTAAATTGTACTAAACAGTTGTGTGACTAGAAAACAGTTAGAAAATGTGACCTCTGAGGAGACTGAGGTTTGTTATATCTCCTTTAAGTGATAGCTTTTCTAAAGAAACCATTCCTCAGCTGTATAAAAGGCTACTGTTAAGAAAAAAGGAACAATCTGTTCTGTAGTCCTGTAGGACAGGAGATTTCAAGCTGCACTGAAAGGACTTGCACAGCAGTGAGAAGAGATAGCTCTTACCTTATCTTAGATGAAACCCCTAGAAACTGAGGCAACATCTTTTTTCCCGGCTAACTCCTCTTGTCAGAAGTGATGCACATGTAATGACACCAGCTTACTGGAAGTGGTATGGACAAACAACTTCTTATAGCTGGAGGGAAGCACATTTTTCTGTGGGCCCAGGCTCTCACAGTCCATGGCCTCTCAGGAAACAGGTCTGTGAGGAAACTATTGCTTGGACACCAGGAGAAACTTCATTTGCAACAGTGTAAACCTGCCAGATGGGAGTAATTTTACTGACAATTAATGCATGATGAAAGCCAGAGGCACCCTTCTGCCTTCCAAGGCCTCCAACCCAGTATCAACCTGGGCTCTTCCAGTGTTCTGTAAAGTACAAGCCTTGTTTCATCCCACAATGATGGGGAGGAAAAAGGACTGGGTAAAGTAAAACCAATTTAAAAACTTGCCAGGGGACTAAAACATTTTGGATTCTGATATCCCAAAGGAATGAAATTTCCTATCACCTGGACTTTGAAGAAGGTCTGAAGTGGAGCTCCCTTTATGTTCTAGCATACCATGGCCCATCAGTTTTTCTGATCTAATGGACTTTCCTTGTGCCAGGTTCAATTTGTGGAAGAAGAGAAGGTCTCCTGGGAGCTCATAGCCACTTCCCAGAATTATTTCAACACCCAGGAATCAGGCTATGTATGAAATGGATAGCACAGCACAGACCTATACAGTCAGATGTGCCCTATATCTGAACAGAAGGTCATTTGGGCTTGGTAACATGGTGTTTTCCATGACTTCAGCCTTTATGTATAAGCTGACATCAACAGGTTTGGTTGCTGTATTAAGGGGTATGCAAATGATTGTATGTGGTTTTGAGTTGTGATTTGGGAGCTGAAAAATTGCAGATGGGTGGACTATTTGTATTAAATTGAAGCTGGCACGTTTTTTGATTCAAACCTCTCAGATAATTGCACTTTGTTTTGAGTGAAATGTTCAGTTCAAGATAAATGTTTTTGTTTTGAAACTTCTGCAAGGAAAACAAGCAGTGCTCAACACTGACACTCCAGAGTCAAAATATTAATGATCCAAGCTCAGTTCGTTTCTCTGTATGCAGGATTTGAAACTTAAAAATAAGATTTCCTATTAACAAGGGGAAAGACCAAAGGACCTAAACTACTGAAGGTTATAGCTGCAGAGTGGAGAAACTGAAGCGATATCAGTTAAGCCAAGCCAGGGCTGTGTAACTGCAGTGCAGTTGAAACCATGTAGGAATGCCAGGTGGAAATCTAAATCATCTCTGCAAAGGGAGCCAGCGGTGCCAGAGCAACCCCTTTGAAGAAAGGTAGTAGGCCAATGTACCCATGATTTAAAGTGTGCTGCAAAGGCTGCAGGTGTTCCCTAGGCCTTCAGGGAAACTTAGGTGGCACTATGAAAGCCATTGCTAGCATACCAATGATAACTAAGGTAGACACACTCTAAGCTTGCAACGGGATAATGCTGTTTGATTGGACTTAGGCAGACAATGGAGGATTTTGGAGGAGGATGAGACTGCTATTTTAGGAAACTTGTACTAGGTTGTCACACAGCATAATAATATCCGAGCACGTGTGGTTGCACACATTTGGTTTTAATAGCTTTAAAACTGAATTGCAGAGTTGGCGTAAGACCTCTGCCTTGTTGGGTGTTGGTGCTGTCCCCTAAACAGTGTTTCATATGGAAACCTCAGCTGCTTAAACTCCCCCGAAGGCTTGGCTGGTGGATGGGAAAATGAGCTAGAGTCTCTGGGCATAAAATTCCTCCTCTCCCAACAACTCATATCATAGTCTTTCCCCAGTCCTAGGATGGACACTACTAGAAAGTCCAATTGTGAAGTGAAATCATCCAGCTGACACGGTACAAAACGTACTGCCCAAGAGAAGTACTGTTAAAGCCATTTATTGGACTGTGTCCAAAACAGAGGGTGCAGCTACTACCTGCAAAGCAGAATGGGTGATGACAAGCTTTGGGAATGTTAGTTCTGAAGATGCTTTTGCCCCTCCTTCATGGGAGCAATGTTTTCCTCCTAACCAAGAGTCTATGGGTGATATAGTATACTTCATATTTACTAAATTTCATAGTTAATGATTATGCTAGTGGCAATAGCTACTGCACACCTGGGGATAATCATAAGATGGTCAGGTGAGACAGTGAAATTTAAAAAGAATAGGCTTTGATCTCCATACCCTAGAAAATGACCAGAATGTCCTGAGCCATAAAGAGAATGTATAGAATTGTGTTGAGAATGAGTTATTTGATGACTTGACAAAGTGATTAATCAATCAGTTAATTTGACAATGAAACCAACTTTTGGGTGTCCTTAAAGTGAACTGCCTTCCTTATAATGCTATAAGAAAAAAAACACCCACAGGTCAAAGAAACCCCTGCCCAGGTTAAGACCCTTCTCCTAGGCATGCGTAGTATCAGAGGTGTTAGGTAAGCAATATTATAATTGTATGTTAATCACTAATCAATCAGTATCTAATAGGTGTGTTATGGAAATATACTAACTTCTGATTTTTCTGTATGAGCATGCAAAGGTGTTGTTGGTGTGCTTGAAAAGCCCACTAAGCACCCAGACCTGAATAAATACAGTATCTCTTCTGAGTGTATTAAGATTGATTCATTGCAGGCTGGGCATCAGTCTACTTTTTTGGATAACATGGGGACGGGAGCAGCAAGTAACTAATTTGATTAGACATTATCCTTACAGGATGGTGTATTGACAGCTACACTCAAACTTTTCTGGCCCACTCATCCATTGCCATAACGAGATTGCAGATTATCTGATTTACCAAGTAATATTCTCATGCCACCTGCTTGTATCCAAGAATAAGCTTTCTGGCCTGGAGCCATGGGAGCCCAGCAAGGATCAGAGCCATGTTCCTCACCCCTCCCGTGCCATGATCTTCTTCTGTGCATGAAGTCCAGCCCTCAACTTCAGTTGCATACGGATTGACTCTTGCCATATGGAGGGCCACTGTGCAAATCTCAGAGCTCTTGCTTGAAATTCTCCCCTTACCTTTCCTTCCCCTCTGCGACTGGCTGGGGACCTTCAGATGGCACCATAGCAGGACCCTTCCACCTGGGCTGTTGCCCCCCACAGCAGGCACTGCCAGGGCCCCATTTCCTGCCTGCAGTCCCACCTAGCAGAGCCACCAATGGTGGGAAAATGCCACAGCCTCCCTGTGGACACCTGTGGGCAAGGCAGTTGGAGCTGGATGAAGGATGATGGGCATTCGGGCAAGTCTGGGGATGGCACCAAATTGATGAAGCAGAGGGCAGGGCGGCGCTGCACAGGGACCTCAGGGCCTGGAGAAATGGGTACTGGGAACCTGACTGGGCAAGTGCTGTCCTGCCCCTGGCTGGCAGAAGCCCAGCTGAGGTGGAGGATTGTGGCAATGGGTACATCTGTCAGCTGGGGTGTGTGCATGAACACAGCTTGAGCTGCATACTTGTTTTAGTGTAATCTGGTTGTTACACAGAAATACAGTGGTGGAGCACAGGAGCATGGCTTAGTGACAATCTTAGGTCTGCAGAAAACGCAGCTTGAGCGGTAGCTGGTTATGCTACAGATCTGTTTTCTTGCTGGCTAAATAGGTGATATTTGAATTATAGCAGGATCATTAAATGTTTATAATGAAGTATAAATCCCATACACTGCTGTGAACAAAAGAAAATTTGCTGCTGCCAATTCAATTGCAAAGGGTAAGCAATGTGGTTGAGAATCAAAACTAGTACCTGGACACCCCTCAGAAAATTTTGTTTGCATTTTGGCCTGAATGTTGGCTCTACTTTACCATGACCAGCAACATCAGCTCTTCCCTTACTAATTCTTTTAGAGAATTACTTTGAAATTAGCACAATAATTTAAGTATTGCATTGGTGAATTGCAGGAAACAGTCAGAGATTTGAATCTGAATAGTTCTCATAGAAAGGAGGTGGTTTTATGGATACACACATAAATACAAAGTTTTCCTTTAGATAGTAGTGTGTTCTGAGTAAGCAACAATCAATAGGCATGCTGGGTTAGCTTGCCAAAATCCTTTCAAGCTCCATAAACTGATAAGACACAGACAGAAAGTACCTCTTCGGGTTAACATGAGGATAGTTCTCAGTTAATTATTTTATTTCTGGAAAAAAATTCCTCTCCCTAAATGCAGAATCTTGTAAACTTTTAAAATTAATGAATATATATATATATATATATATATATATATATATAAATTAATAATTGCTTAGTGTTTAGAGGAAGTATAAAAGCACCTGCTATACTGGAGGGGAATGGTAGTGTGTAAGTGGCCAAATTTTGCACTGCCCAGTTCTCCAGGATGAATCCTAGGTTTCTGAAGGTGGCAGCCCTTCCCTAGCACTCTAGCACATAAGTCAGTTTGGGATTTGTCAAGTCTGACTGTTGTTTTCTGAGAGACACCTATGCAAAAAGGTATATTTGTCATTCCAGAAGACTGGAAATGGACCTGGATAAGTCTACCAGATCTGGCATGACAACATGTCTTCTTGTATATATCCTCCCTGTATATGCTGTAAACATGAACAGATTCTCTTCCTCTTATTTTATGGAGAGATGTCTCAGTTAAAAAATTTATTACAATACAGTAGCAATGGCAATTTCTGCAATAAAACTGCATGAGTTTGTTATCTTTCAGTTGACAGATTGTATACAAAGCTCTTAACACCTATCATTGAACCTTGAATAAGAAGTTTACTTAGTTGGTCAAATGTCCTGTGAAGCTGAAGAAGAAAAAAGATTATTAAACACTTCCCAAACTCTACTATGTGTACTCCTTGTGCAAATCTTCCCCAAATACTCTGGGCATGGAATTAAGTAAGACACAATGGTAGGACCCATGAAACTTTGGTAAGGAACACTAATAACATAATATAGATGCCCAGATCTACCCAGAAGTAGTTTTGCTCAAGCAGTGTTGGGGGGAAATGATGAAGAGAAGAGGCTCTAGGAAAAAGTTTTTAGATGTCTGCAGAACAAGAGGACAGCATCTCAGATAAGTGATTTGTGGGAAACATAGCCACAATGAGGAAAAAAAAAATTCTTTAGCATAAAAGAAGTGGTACAGAGAAACTAACCCTAACTTCAAGAGTAAAGAAAGAGCAGAAGAGATGAGGAAGAAGAAAAGGACTGTTGAGTCCATAAGAAGCTGTGGAAACAGCCAAGGACTGAAACCTGGGAAGGAGTATGGAGGGCATGGAGAGTACAGTGATTAAGAAGAGTGTTCATGAGCCAGGAGGGTCATGTGGCAAAAGCAACATAAAATGTCCATCCATGGTTTTGGAACTGGTTATTGATGAAAATCCTTGGGCCTCTCATCAGGGAAGATCCAGGGGATGGAAGCATTTCTGCAAGCCAGGGGGCCTGTTGAGTGGAGAGAAATCAAGGCTGAAAGGGTCCCATGGGGAGTATTTCAGAGTTTGGTTTTGGCTACTCAGATAGGAATGGGTGATGCTGAGTGATTCTCAAGACAACTGGTCCAGGATAACTAAACCAGACTGGTAAGATGCTCAGAGAAATATGTGTTCAGGCGAGTTTAGAAAAAGGCTGATGGCAAACTGAGATAATGAAGATGGAGGTGACTTGGGGATATGCCTTGCCAGGATGAGATGGCAGTGCTGGGCACATGGATGCAATCACAGGAAGTGGCTTTAACCCAAAGGACAGACTACTGTGAACAGCTGGGGAACCAAAAGTGTGGGACCAAGAATAGACATATGGGTAAGAAGAGGTCAAGCCAAGATTTCATGAGAAGAAGCTGGGAGAGACTGTGTAATCTCACAGCAGAACAGTGTAAAGAGGGGTGCAACATTGACAGGTACAAGGCTGCAGCAAAGGGGAAGCAAGTAGTCATATTTCGGACACCAGCAACGTGGTTGGTCTTACAGGTGTTTCACTGTTTACATAACAGCCATAGTTTCCCATGGTGGGCTTCAGGCACAGAATTGCAGTAAATTCTGCAAGGGTTTTGACAGTGTTTGGGCACACTGCAGCCTGTCTCCTCCTCCTTCTTTCCTTGTGAGCAGAGGGGATGATTAATCTTGATTTCCTGCAGCAGGCATTCCTGCGGTGATGGTATTTTTAATGGGCATTAGTAACTTTGAGGCAACATTGCAATTTTCAGCGTTTCCAGCTTCTTGCTCAGTCTAAAGTTGGATGCAAGCTTGGTCTTTGAGTCCAGTTTCAGTTTCAAGTTTACAGAGGCTGCAACCCTTCTGGACCCTGACTGAACCTCTGCTGCCCTCGGTAAAATAGATCACTTTGCTGTGTTAAGTGCCCTCAGCTGACAAGAAGCATGCCATGGTGAAAACAGTGACATTTCCTATCCATGGAAGATTTACTCTATCTCAGGTCTTGCAGATTTACAGAAAATCATCTGCTAAAAACATAAAATAAACAAAATTCTCCATTTTAAAAAGAAATCATCGTTGATAGTTTAGAAAAAAACTGACAGTTCTTTCCCCTTTTCCAAAACAATATCATAAAGTCTGTCGTTTTTTCCCATGGAAGAAGCAGAGATAGAAAACAGAAATGCAGTTGTATGTGAAAGCCTTTGGCTTATTCTCTAGCTCTGTGACTCACTAATGAGCCTCACGTTCACAATTGCCCTCTCCTTGGAGCGCAGACGGGTGTTCTGACCTAAACCTTCCCTCCTTAGTTTGCTTCTGCTGCAGATGGAAACTGTCCTCTAATGCTTACAAAGGCCAGGCGCCTGGCTAATGGCCTTTGGCTGCATGCACATACAGATTCTCCTATCTTTGGTAATTTGTGTTTAAAAGCTGGTTTTAGCTTTTAAATCCATCATCAGGTCTGGCATGGACATCCTGGCTTATCCAGAACTACTCAAGCTGTGTGACAGCAGTATCACTTTTGTAAAGCACCTTGAGGTGCATGCCATGTAAGGAGCTGTAAATATCCTGTTCGAGTAATCTGAAGCAATAATCTGGAGGCAGTACTTAGTGTCTACAATACATAATGGAAGACATAAATTCTACTGTTATGTTGTGCTTTGCAACAAGTTAAAGCTTATAGATTTATTCCTGCATTTTTCTGTTAAACTTCTTCTGTTGCATGAAGAGGAAAAAAAGCCAGACTCAGAACACTACAAGCATGATTTAAACCTTCGGGGATATTCACATACCCTCTGGGTCCCTTGTTTTTGGAAGGCTGCCTGGGAATAACAACAGGGATTAAATAAACTCTGGTCTGTTACCTCATTGCAAATTGTGGCAGGGAGTATTAGCTGCCTCAGTGAACAACCCTCTTCCTCCTGCCTTCCCATGGGAGAAGAATAGGATCAGACCCCATAGCTGTGTTCGGGCTGCAAAGACCTTAGCCCCAGACAGCTGAACTCCCATCATACTTGCAGGCGCCACCCTCCTTGTCCACTTTGAAGAGGCAGGCTTTCCAGGCTTCCTGTGCTAAAGGAGCTGATCTCTGACCCTCAGGAGCTTGTGGGTTGGCATGAGAAGACAGATATTCTATCTTTAAACAAATGTTGCAACTAAAATGAATAAACCTGCCAGTGTGTGCAAATGGACAAGTTCAGTAGTAGTAAATATTAGATATGTATATAGATATGTCAACAGTATGCCTAGTAGTAAATACTAGAAAACAACTGTCTACCTCTTTATTTCATGGTCAAATAAAGGTCTCTTTTTCATCAGGTATTTTGCTACACACTAGCAACAGGCCATTAGGGAAACTTGGAGAGTGAAATCCAGCAGCTCACTGACCAAGTGGCAACCACTGTCCATGGAGTTCTGCAGGCACTAGGAGGTGGCACAAAAACTGATCTGGTGAATCCTAGTAGGTTAAAATCCCACTTCAAAAGAGATTTTAGCTAGCAATGTATTCACCCTGTACTCTCAAGACAGCAAGATGCTGAAGGGTTTGAGAGAGAAGCTGTAACAGTTTTGCTACCAAGCCCTTGACACTGGCCCTGAAAAAAACATTTCCCATGAGCTGGCTAACCATCACAGCAGAGGAGCTGAATCTCCTCAACTCCTCTGTGCTTTGAGCAGCCTCCTGGTTTTGCTTGTGAACTAGGAGGGGGACATGTGTGTCTATGTCTGAGATGTGCTGTGTGCATGGGAGCATGTGAGCCCCTGCTCCACCAATTGTCAGTCCATACATTTAGCAAGGATGATACTATCATACTTCAGAAGGGAAAGCTGCCTTTCTGGTTATGCCATTTAGAGCTGTGAGATATTTGAATGGCACCTTGACAGTCATAAGGTAGTGGTTTATGATGCTTTTTTATCTAATGATGTAACACACCCAAGAACCTTACCCTTGAACCACAGAGGGACAAACTTCAAACAATTTCCTCTTCATCTGTATTGCATCACTCTCTTCATTGGAGAAGATCAGCATTTCTGAGCAGAAGTCACAGAAACTGAGAACCTCCTAGTCAATGGTCTTCAAATGGTGTGCCACTATGGGAAAGCTTTATTTCTCCTGCCTCCCACCCTGGTGAGGGAGCAGAGCAAACTATTGCTGACCTCTCAGTCCTTGGCAGACCTGGGACTGGGACACAGGTCCTCCAGCAATGCAGGGATGTGTGTGTGACACCCCAGAAGGAAGCCCTGCATCCTCAGCAGCACAAATTAAATCTAAAGCTGGAGTAGGAAATTCTCCTGATTTACGGTTCAACAACCACTACAATAGCTGTGAAGGACAACTCAAAATACATCTACCTGTGGTGGTTCTCCAACACTCTGGTAATCAGGCCCACAACTTGATTGCCTGCTGGACAGCAGGAACCTTAATGCCTGATTCAGAAGGCTATTTAGAGATCTCATATGTCCATCAGCTGCTGAGCTAGCACATGTCGCTAAATCTGAGCTGGCAGTGCAATTGCAGTAATTCTCAGAGCAGTTTACCCAATGCTTATTCTGATAATAAGGCAGAAGGAGGGGGGCTGCTAGGTATAGGAAATCTAGAACTGCTGCTGCTGTATTTCATAGGACAGGGCAGAAGATAAGATTAATCATTTCGTCTGCATACCTGTTTTACTGCAGGCCATTAAAACTACCAGTTACTCTACCGATGCTGAGTCTAGTACACTTAATATGTGTTTTATTCAGTCAGGCCACCTCTTCTATTAAAAAACAGCAGGTCTGGAACTGGCCCTTTCATATCTTTTTTGACAACAAAATCCTGATGTGCACCTTTGTTTTTATAAGAGCTATTTCATGTTACATCAAAATTAAAGTCCCAGGAATATGCTTCAATGCTTTGTTGTCTTCCTTTTTGCCTTTTTTTTTCTTTTTTCTGTGCCCAGCACAAACTACCATAATACTGTGAAAATGAAGGTTAGTTTGATTTTGTTTTCTTCTTGTTCCAAACAGCAAATAATGCAGTGACAGATG